CCTTGGCCTGGTTAAATTCCTGCAGATGCTGCAAGTGGGTCAAGGACAGAGGACAGGTTCAATATGCCGGGACACACATAACAGCCGGGGGGCGAACTCTAATGGCGCAGCATCCCTCCGCAGATCACCCGTCGAGCATGATGTTTATGTGCTACTCAGATTGTCCTGCGATACAAATCGCAAGCCCAGCAGCGCGTGCATGATAAGAAATCACAAGTCCGTTCATATGATATATATATGCTGAAAAATTCAACCAGGATAGCTGACGTTTGAGATATTCGCTGTATATGAACGGGGCAGTATTGCCAGGAGGCAAACATGGACACACGACGTTATGCAACAAAATGATGTTAAGGGATGAACGAGGTCATGTGGTACGTACGTACCTAGCCACTCGGGGTATTTGTGGGATAATTAATCAAATTGTGCGCAGCACAAAAATATCTTGCACCAGGTAACCGTGGCCATGGACGAAACATGTCCTCCCGAAATGTCAGCTGGACTTTGTTGTCCCGGCTTCGCAAACGTCGCAACTCGCAGCAAGGTAATAACGAAAATATGTAGGTATAGTTTCCAGTTTATTAATGGTAGGCACTTTTTACTCAAGTACTAAATAAGTATCAGTCCCGTCCGTCTCCGATGATAAAGAGTAATTATAACGACTTTGCGCCGTTCACGCATGTTAAAAAAGTATGGCTAAATCTTGATAGCACAAGTATTTTTTGCAGCATCGGAGGGCTGTCTCTAAACGCGCGCGTGATTTCAGTTTTTTAAGTAAAACGTCGGTATAACAGAAATTAATCCCGGGAATAATATTGTTAATCAGACTTTTTCTTTCCGTGGTGGAGCCCGAATGGTTTCACAAGAATGGTTTCAAGCTGCTCGCTGAAAAAAAGAATATTGGCCTGCATTGAGATTGAATGTTAAGTGCACCGAAGGCAACACAGAGCTAAATCAAATTCAGAGAGAGCTTTGAGACGCCTTCTTAATTTTTTTTTAAATCTGATAGGCCCACTGCTTTGTCCGATCACTCAAAGGTGATGCTCATAATGCAGAAAATGGATACGAATGGTACAGACAGCGAGAAAAAAAACTGCAGTTTGCTCTCCCAAGAGTTGGCGAACAGAGAAGCAGAAGGTGTTCCAACCAACACAAGGAAGACCCAGAAATGGGCTGTAGCCACTTATCGTGATAGGAGCAGCGCAGGCCAAGTGTCTGATAGGTATACCCAGGCACACGTGATACAGAGATGATGGAATAGATCAGAGGTTGTAAATACGCGTTTTCAGTATAAGGTTCTCACAGAAGGCGGCCCTGGGTGCATAAGTTCTTTACAAGTGCTGCAAGAGGGCCTGCATATGAATATAAGCGACTGACCGAGACATTGCACAGTCCACACATTCCACTATTACATTTCCTAATTGGCGCTATTAATTTGATTAATTAGTACACACTTCGTTATTAACCCGGCGGCCGCTGGGCCTCCGCGCCACCCGCCGGCCGCTGGGGGGGGGGGCATAAAGTTGCCCCCCCTTTACTTCTGCGACGATATCGTCGCAACGCGAAGAGATAGAGAAGCGAAACTTTGCACACATCTTCCTGAATACCTAGCCGAGGTTGTGTCCAAATTTGGTGTTGATCCCATTTGAAATGACGTCACAGTGACGTCATAAGTGAAATTATAGATTTGCGACTCTCATATTTCTCACGATACATCACATATATGGGACCTAATATAAAGGGCCGATTATTGGTCAGAAACTAGATGGAAGTGTAGTAAGATGTTTTAGGATGACAGCAGGTGCTGTCTAGTTCATTTACAGTCGAGTTTCATGCTCAGCGTCATCAGAAACGGTCCATGTCGGAAAACGACAAAACTTTATGACGTCACTGTGACGTCATCTTAGGTGCTACAACCACCAAACTTTTTTCAAACATTGTCTAGGTATTCATTTGAAGCTATGCCAAGTTTCACGTTCGTAGCTCATCAGGTTTCGGAGATATTTCACAAAACGTAAAGGGGGGGCAACTTTATGCCCCCCCCCCAGCGGCTCGTGGGTTAACAAATGATCCCCGAAAACAAAACCAAGCCCCGTTTCTTTTCCCAATCCCTCAATGTAGCCCTTTTTAAATAGACGAGCTGAGCAACGAACGGCGCAAAGTCGTTATAATAAATGTAATCGGACCGCCTCCTCGGTACACCAGGCATTATTCGGTGTGCCTAACCAAGAGTGTTTATATTTAATGCACTCGCAGGCTCGTGCATCAAATACAAAAATAACACTCATTTCATTCGTGTTATTTTTGAAAATATTAACCTCACTTCGTTCGGTTAATATTTTAGAAAAAATAATGCCCTCACTCCGTTCGGGCATTATTTAAAACACCCTTGGCTAGGCACACCGAATAATACCTGGTATATCGAGGAGGCGGTCCGATTAAATATATAGTATTTCCTATGCGAAGAAAACATGAAAATAGCAAACACTGGTGCAACAATGACCCCGAATACATGACCAAATAAATGCGTATTACGAACGGATTTTCCTATTCGCTCAGCATTGTTATCAGTTTGTAATACGCATTTACTGCGCTTACGTATCCCCCTCAGGGGATCCAACTGCGTTGCTGCCACAACATTTACAGGGGAGCCCTGTAAATGTTGTGACAGCAACGCAGTTCGTAGTAACGGATGTAGTGAATATAATAAGCAATGTTCACATAACTTGTCGCTTATTATAGCATGCATCCGTCCTACACGCTGTTTTGATGAACTTGACTGATACAATCGTAACGACCGTCGCGCCGGATATTGATCGCACAACTCCTCGTTAAAGGGACCCTCCCACCTTAACATTAGTTTTGAGTTGAGATAGCCAAATTGGTGGCCATGGCCTGAAAATACCGGTTTGGGCACTCACAACATCGAAAAATGCTGTAATTCGGAGATATGGAATTTCAAACTTGCAGTTTTCGGATTCTAAGGGGCTAATGCATTGGTATGCCCCCTTAGAATTTGTGACGTCAGCGGAGGTCTAACGATTTTTAAATCTTTTACTAAAACGTTCGGTAGCACGCGGTTGTATATGCTGCTTTGCGCGCAACAAATGCCGCACTTTCAAATAAAGTCGCTAGGAACAGCGGAGATCCCAGAAAGTAAACAATAGTAAAAGTCTAATATCTTGAAAACCGGTGAATATTTTTCGATGAAATTTGGTAGATATTCGTTTTCGCTCTTCCTTAACCGAGCGACATCACTTTCATGCCAATTCATTAACTTTTTTGAAGGTGGGAGGGTCCCTTTAACCCGCGCCCCAGTGGCGGTCTCAGCCAACTTCGCCCTAGTGAGGGGGGGCATATGTTACCACCCACCTCTAACTCAAAAACTAAGAGGGCTAGAAAGACGCGGTAAAAGGCAGTCGATAGCTCTCAATGCGTACGTTTGAAAGTATTTCGGTCATTTTTCACCTTAGAGCAGTATTGGGGTCACCAGAGGTCATCAAAAGTCAAAATTTGCCAATTGTCATTATATTTTTCAGAAAACATGTCGCTATCTCAGGAACTATGGTAGCTAGAAAAACGCATGGAACAGCAAACGATAGCTTGTGAACTCTTCTTTTGAAAAGGTCATTATCAATATTGACCTCAGGTCAACGGTTTAGCCTCCAGAGGGCAAAAACTCCAAAAATAGCTGTTTTTACGAAAAGTGTTTTTCGACAATAACTTTCGACTACAAAAAGCCACGACATTTCTATTGCCAGAATCGTGTTCCTCTCGCCGAGACGCGTCGAATAAACTATAATTTGACCTTGAAAGGTCAACTTGAAAATTTGACCTCAGGTCAAGGTCATGACCTGACCGGAAAAGGTCATGTTGCATATCAGACGATGCGTCTCAACAAGACAAACACAATGAGACCATCCCCAGCGTTCTATCTCGTTCCAATCGCGAGTTATTGGCAAAAAACTGTTTGTAGCCTCAAGTGACCTCGGATGACGTGTCTAGAGGCTATCAGCAAAAATGACACCTTGGTCATCACGAGTGGACTAAATCATTGTGAGTCTGAAATATTTGGACTGTTCCGATGCGTACACACGGATCTAGAGGCATTTTCATTTTTCTCCATTGACTTGTAATGGTAAGGTCACGCCACTGACCTGACCTTAGGTCATGGATATAAAAAATCCGAGATATACAAATTGTAGGCGCCCATAACAGCATGCAATCCAACAAGTTTAAAACCTTTCTGACAAACACTGCAGGCTGGACATGATTGCAAACTTTTTTAGGCTTGGTCAGTTAACTTGACCTGGTGACCTGACCTGACATGACCTGGGGTCAAAAATTTCACACATTGTCCAAAATTGATGTACCAAAAGCTACCCCAAGCGGCGCGGCGCTACGCGCCGCGGTTTTTTATTCACACGCAAAAAAACGCGACAGGGTGGTAACATATGCCCCCCCCCCCACTGGGGCGAAGGTTAACATCGCACTCCATGTCATCCTACACGGCACCCCTTTACTCTCAAATTAAAATAACTCGCGCTCAAATTTAAAAGGTCATATCCAAATTAAAAAAGGTCACATCCAAACTGAAATTAACAAAGGTCATATCCAAATAAGAACGTAAACTTTCCAGATCACTAAGAATGGAATTCCCAAAAATAGGCCACCATGGTTTGCCTCACGTTTTAAGTATGACGGAATACGGATGATTTTAAATGTATGACCACGTTCATGAGTGACTGGTCCGAACTGGGGGACGAGTCACGCTGGGCGCCATTTAAGTTCCGTGCGCCAATCCAACACGTGCGTGCTACCTTACAACTAACCTCATACTAAATAAGTGCTGATAGAATCTCCGGGCCCACGGTAGCCTTTAGAAGGCAGCCGGCACGCTCGCTCCTCAGCGCGGCCACGGGCCCGCGCAGTGGGCCTCTGTCGTAAAGGAGCGGCCAGGTGCTGGACCGGCTGATCACGCAACCCCCACTGCTCGACAGGACAGCTTCAGGTGGACATTTTCGGCCCCGAGCACACCCGTGGCCCGCCGGCGGACCTCGACAGATTGGCCACAGACAAGACCCTGAGCAGCTGCCCGACTGAGATCGCCCGGTGACAGCAGAAATCAACATGACAAAGAGGTAAGTGTCGTAAAATGGATGAAACGCATGCTGCTAGATATGTGCATGTCATTTTACTAGGGATTGCATTACTCACTCCATCGTGCTATGAAAAGAAAGCTCGGGATGAACATCCATAATCTACAGGGTGTCTCAAAAGTTCGCTTACAGGTACCAGCCATGCTTTTTTGTCAATAATTCTGAATCAACATGAAATTAACAGTCGAAATTTTGCATGGGCATTGGTAACAACCTTTTTTTTTAAATTTTTAGTCCGAATGGTTGAATGGATGGATGGAACCTTCCTCAAGCAGCTTCATTGTTTTCAAGCGCATTCGACCCTTCATGAGCTCACAAAAAGGGTTCACCTCTGACCATGGATCAGGCATGAAAATGGAGGTCGCATACTCGGGTCGGCTGAGAAACTCTCTGCTTCACGAGTAATGGGAATGGTTAGGTCGGAAATGACACATGGCAAAGTGTCGGCGAGGATGAGTACAACATGATGGTCATCTAATAAAAACGGTGGCTAAAATTTTTGAAGGACAAAACCATGCGAGACTAACAACGCTTTGAACGACCCTTGTACCGCAGCAGACTCGTGCTCCGGAAAGCAGCTGAAAATGCAGTCCTAACTATTGAAAACTGACTAGGAGCTCACAGACAAAGGTTACCCAGTTTCAAAAATTGCAGGTCATCATAAAATAAAGACAAAATATCATTTAAAATTGTTTATAATATATATAACGCTAAATTTTGAGGGAAAATAATGCGAAAATCGTCAATGCCGAGGACAAGTGACCCTCCAAAAGTGTCAATTAATGTAAAGTTTTATCTAACGAAGTTTCAAGAGGTGCAGATCTGGAGCAAATAGCTTTCTTTTACACACAAAATCCGGACAAAACCGCACGATGGACAGGTTTTGGCCGTTTACAAAGCAGAACCTCTCCTGAGGAAAACACTCCGGAACCCAGCGAAGGTCTTGGCATTGGGAATGACGAGCGTTCGGGATTTGCAAATTTTGCAAAATGTGTCTAAGAAACAGATAGCCGACACATTCTGCTACGATATGCTGCGAAAAATTTGCCCCTGGCACTTCCCATTTGTTCAGGAATGGGGTTGTTTTGAAAAGGAAAATGGTGCTTGGGAGGTCGGCGCCAGTCATTCATGAAGGAGTTAGCGCCAGAGAAGACCTACAAAATACTCACGGATGGTGTCGATGCAAGCTATCGGCTTTCAGGGAGAAGCGGATGTTGCCGGGGAGCTCGTCAAACCTAAATCCGACGCAGAAACTGCGGGGGATTCCCCTACAAGAGCTAGAAAGCTGGTAACCTTTTATCAGCCTCCGGCAGCTGACGGAGTGACGAAAATCGGTATGGGCAAATATTTTTGGAGATACAGCAAAGGGTTTGGTTTCCAGCCTTCCGAATCAGTTGTCAAAGCATGCATATTTGTCTAGTGTACACACGGACACCAAAACCTTAGATTTTTGGCCGGTTCTTATATGCTTTATTGACATGGGAAATGTGTAAACGAACTTTTGAGACACCCTGTACAAGGACAAAACGATAAGTCACAACATCCTATCAGGAAAGGAACACCAGCATCCCCTTTCAGGATGAGTCCTGCAGCCTGCAGGCATCGTATCATTCTGACTCTCGTTCGCCGACCTCTGGTCCTCTAAAGTGGACCAGCAGACTGACCAGAATGACGCATAGGTACCTCAGTGCTGCCACCTACAACTGAGGCCCCACTGTGCTTCCCTCTGCCGACAGAATCAGCCGAGCGCTGGTGGCGGCCCTGGTGGTCGTACTCGCCCTCGGAGCCGCTGCGCCGGGAACACATGGAGCCACAGTGCGCGGTGAGTGCTGTCAATTTCGCTCCGCAATTGAGATGGTATAACCATTTGTGATGTAACAGGCCAGTGTCGATTCCAAAAATGATATTTTTCAATCCAGCAAAGTTAATTTATTGAATTTAGAAACATGCCAGGGCAGAGGAGGGATATTAGGGGAAGCCGGGGTGACCCCGGGCGCGAGGGAAGCCTTTCAAATCACAAAAGTGATAGAACGAAGCGGATATATCCAGTACTTTCCGAATTGAATATTTTCCCATAGACCAGGGGTCGGCAAATGGTGGGGCATGCCCCCTTTGGGGGTAATGGAGCCCTTTCAGTGGGGGTAATGAGGGATTCTGAGAAAGCCATCTTTTTAGAGTTTGTAGCTCCAGTGATGGAGCCATCGTGACTGTTGCATCCCAGGGTTCAAAGATTAGCCCAGGCCAAAGGCACAGCAGTCAGCACACATTGATTAGATACCAATTTTCACGTACCTGCTCGCCTCACCATCTCACCCCTCCGTACAGTCGTACAAAAGCAGCTGCAACTTTTGACCGTCGCCCGTCTGTTGGCGTTTCAACAGCCGCTAACGTAAGGGGGAGGAGTCGTTCGGACCCCCGCGGCCTCTCGGACTCTGATATGGAGCTGTGCATAAAAAAGACGAGCGTGCTACCCATGACAATAGGAAGCCGCTGCTGCCCATTTTTAAGGTCCTTGGTCATTCCGTCTCATTCAAGAGGGCAATGACAAGTGTCGAGAAAATCGGGACCCGCTATAACTCCTTGAAGTGAGATTTTATGGCTCAAGATGATCTCCAGAAAAAGCTCATAAGCCAACGGTCATTATGAGTCCAGAGGCCAGTTTTACCAACAGAAAAATAGCCGCCTGCCGGAATTTTTGCCTAAAGATCGTTTCACATATGGAGCGTAAACGGTACAGCCCTATCCGCTTACGAGCCCATCGCGTTTACGCTCCGTATGTGAAGCGGTCTTGAGGCAAAAATTCTGGCAGGCGGTTATTTTTCTGTTGGTAAAACTGGTCTCAGGTCATGATATTTTCCGGGCTGGTTAAAAAAAAATATGATGGGCTCGAGGGTACAATTTGGTCGTGATCCAAGGCCTTTTACGTGAGCTTTTAACGAAAAACCACCCGCCGCCCCTATACGTACAAGGGTTAAATGGGATATAGCATAGGCGGCGGAACGGGGAGGGCACCGGGGCACCGTGAACCCTTTGATTTTTGCATTTTAACATTGGCCCTATGGGCGTTGCATGGAAAGTATGGGACCAAAAGTCAGCAGTGCCCCCCCTCCCCTCCCCCTTAATTGAAGGTGTTCCGCCGCTACTGGGATATAGGCATTAAATGTTTTGTAGAGGAAGTGTCATGTTTTAAACTTGATGCATTGGAAATGCACAAATACCCAAAGAGTTCCAGGACGGTATGGAATTTCAGTAAACTTGGTTGTGTCAGCAATGGGGTCTGGTAGGTGGGGGTAATGGCCCTGCCTGGCGCCCAAAAAGGGGGCACGACCCCGAATGACCTGCCGACCACTGCCATAGACTTATCATTACGACGTAATGACCTCTAACTGATCTCAGGTCAGTGACATCCCAAAAAACGAACTATATGCTATACAACTCGGTGAACTTAACACATCCTGAAAGTTATAAGGAAATCAGTCCAAAACTGTGAGGTGGACAGGTACATAAAGAAAATTGATATTTTACCATGACCTTGTACCGGTTTTTCTAACCTGGTGACCTGACCCAAGGTCATCCGGACCTGAAATTTTCAGGTCATATGTAAAAAGGCTGCTCCATAGGCTGTACCAAATTTGGCATCTTCGAAAAAACTTAGGGGGAGGGGTCGCATCGACCCCCTCCCCCTGCCAGTGCGAGGATTAAATTGAAAAAAAGCAAAAACCGAAAGTAAAAAAAAAAACACGAAACAAACCAATGCAACAAGGTCTGCCAAATGGTCCGAACCTATTCATATTTATTACCTACCAATAAAAGTGCAAATACTGCATAAAATAGGCACAAACCATAACAAATAAATGTTTGTAGATAAGGTGAAGGAAAAAATCAAACATGTGTGAATATATGACGTGAGTATAAGTTGCCGGCCGCCGCTAGTCCATGGAACCTATATAGCTCTTCTCGGAGTTCGGACCTCGCCATCAGACAACGGGGTTTGCATGTGAACCAATGTTTGTCCGTGTCACCGACAGATGGCGCGCACTCCATTCACCGCCGAGCCATCGCCACTGGAAGCAGTCGGCCGCAGCTGTCGCCCCATCTCTGTCTCAGCAAGGGCTGCGTCAAAGCCGGTACGTGTGTGTCTCTACAGTAAGATATTTCGCATTTTGGCACTATGCAAAGTATTTACAAATGACAGAGCCTTAAAGGGACCCTCCCACCTTCAAAAAAGTTAATGAATTGGCATGAAAGTGATGTCCCTTGGTTCAGAAAGAGCGAAAACGAATATCTACCAAATTTCACCGAAAAATATTCACTGGTTTTCAAGATATTAGGCTTTTACTTTTGTTTACTTTTTGGGATCTCCCCTGTTACTAGCGACTTTATTTGGAAGCAATAATTTGGCAGCCTTAAAGTGCGGCAGACGTTGCGCGCAAAGCAGCGTATACCACCACGTGTTAACGATGGTTTTAGTCTAAGATTTAAAAATCGTTAGATCTCCGCTGACGTCACAAATTCTAAGGGGGCATTCCAATGCATTAGCCCCTTAGAATCCGAAAACTGCAAGTTTGAAATTCCATATCTTCGAATTAAAGCATTTTTCGATGTTGTGAGTGCCCAAACCGGTATTTGCAGGCCATGGCCACCAATTTGGCTATCTCAACTCAAAACTAATGTTAAGGTGGGAGTGTCCCTTTAATTTGTAATGAAGCGACATGTCAACAACTTCCAGCAATAAAAATCATGACGATGCCAATGGCCGTTTCAGCGTTCCACGTTCTGGACAAGATGGACACATCGGTCGACCCGTGCGACGACTTCTACTCGTTCGCGTGCGGATCGTTCATCGACCGCACCGTCATCCCGGACGAGAAGAGCTCCGTGTCGCAGTTCAGCCTCATCGACGACGAGCTCAACCTCAACATGAGGAAGCTGATCGACGCTCCCGTCCAGGCGCAGGATCCGCCAGCGACAGTCACACTGAAGAAATATTTCAGCAGTTGCATGGATAAAGGTTAGACGGGAGTCAGGGACATTCCCCAGATTTGAGATTAAACGCATTTATACGAGTAGGTATGACTGTAGAGTTGAGGTCTCGAATAAAGAGTACCTAGGTCGCGTACTGGGCAGACTTGTGCTTCTTCTCTGATTTCGCTTGTACTCATTTTGAGCGACTGCCTTGCCCTTAGGACAGGTATGACTTTCCATATAGAATATGCTTCACTAACGTTATTGCAATGTTTTTTTTTGCGGTGGATTGACCCAGGGGAGAGGGCTAAAATGAAGTTTAAGTTTTTGTCGAGTATGACCAGCCCAGCAACGTCTGCGTGTCTGACATAGATAGCTGAACAAAGCAGTTGGAAGCTCGCGACACTTGTCCGCTGAATTAGTTACCTACTGACAAAACCACCCACTTCGCAGACGGCATCGAGAAAAAGGCCCTGGACCCGATGAAGAGCATCCTGAAGAGAATGGGAGGCTGGCCAGTGTTGGAAGGTGAGGCACACGGCTGTGACGTTAACAGTAGCGGCGGAACACCTTCAATTAAGGGGGGCACTGCCGACTTTTGGTCCCAATCTTTCCATGCAACGCCCATAGGGCTAATGTTAGAATGCCAAAATCAAAGGGGGGCACGGTGCCCCGGTGCCCTCCCCGTTCCGCCGCCTATGACGCTTAAATCTGTTTTGCTTATGCTATATAAATGTGAGCTGATTAATCGAGCCGTTTTCATTAGGGACTCGAGAAGATATGCTTTACCTAACGCCAAAGGCAAAATCATGGCTGTTTTTATACTAGCCTGCAGGAACTAGCTCGTTACCCTATAAAGTAAATTTGCTGACGTTCTGTGCTATTCCGCAGGTCTTTCGTGGGACGAGAGCTCCTTCGACTGGGCCGAGGCCATCTACCGGAACCGAGAGCTGGGCTTTCCCAACAGCTACGTGTTCAAGTTCAGCGTCACAGCCGACATAAAGAACTACACTCGCCGCATGGTGAACGTCAACGACGCCTCGCTGGGTCTCGGCAGAAAGTACCTCATCAAAGGTGGGTGCTCAGTGGATGTGAAGGCCCCTGAGAATGTCTACCACGGCGTCAGACAGAGGCAGTGATAGCGCTACAGAGAGGATGTCTCCTATTCAAATATTGATCAATTTCGCACAGACCAGAAACCCCACAGGCTATATTGAGATTTTTAGTATGGAAGCACATCACTCGTGCACCCTATGATCGGCAGGCTTCAACGACTCCGACGTCCAGGCCTACTACAGCTACATGGTGGACATGGCCGTCCTGCTCGGCGCCGAGCCGGAGAAGGCCAAATCCGAAATGGAGGACGCCCTCCGCTTCGAAATCGAGCTCGCCAACGTAAGTGAAGAGTCTTTGCGGATGTTAGCAACTCAACAAGACACCAATATCCATAAAGTGGACAGCAAACATTGGGCTGGAGCGGTGTTACTTGGCAGACCGCAGGAGAGCATTGCTATCTATTTTGCCGAGCATGATCTGCGACGACAAAATTGTGTTCTTCGCCCATAGTTACACATCTGCGTTTTCGTGCCCAATGTCACATCATCTACATACATTCCAACCCCAATAACGTGATCTGTGCGGCAGATTTCGCTGCCGGCCGAGGAGCGGCGCAACATTTCACGTCTGTACAACCGGCGCACACTGGACGAGATGAGCAGGGTGGCGCCGGGCATCCCGTGGCTGACGTACACCAACCGTCAGCTACAGCCGGCCGGGCACACGGTGAGAGGCGCTGGATGGGGCAGAGGGAGGTCACACAGCCGGCCGGGTACACGCACTATGGTTGGAAACGGCCTCACGGATGGCCGTGGGTCAACGCGAAAAAATGTTTTGCCCATAACTTGTTAATGCGTAGACCGACTGCGATGAAACTTTGCATAGGTATACCAGTGTCTTTCGTGCATCATACTGTAACTCAGAAATGACGAGGTCACGTCACGTCACGCGTGTGTGACGTCATCATTACAAGTATGTTATAAGTCGCCTATGTCTTTCGTTATGTTATCGATATCGCGAGGCATTTTCAACATGTTTTGAATACTGCTATTACTGAATGGATATTGTTGTTATGCTTTAGGGCGAGAAATATCAACGTAGTGACGCACAGTGTCTTACTATTGGTCATAAAGGGTCAGAAATTTGGAGAAAGAGTATTTATGATTTTTTTTAGATTGGGCAAAAAAGTAAGAAATAAAATGACGATCAAATGACAAAACATGGCACATGCGTCAGATTAACCCGGCAGTTGCTGGGGTATTTCCCCATTCGCCGTTTGCCGGGGGGGGGGGCGTTCAACGCCCCCAGCCGATAACTCGCGAACAAATAGGCGCAGCGAAACGCATGAGGCGCGGCAAACGAAAGAAGAACGCGACGAGACGATTCACATGAATACTTTAAAGGGACACTCCCACCTTAACATTAGTTTTGAGTTGAGATAGCCAAATTGGTGGCCATGGCCTGCAAATACCGGTTTGGGCACTCACAACATCGACAAATGCTTTAATTCGGAGATATGGAATTTCAAACTTGCAGTTTTCGGATTCTAAGGGGCTAGTGCATTGGTATGCCCCCTTAGAATTTGTGACGTCAGCGGAGATCTAACGATTTTTAAATCTTTTACTAAAACGTTTGGTAGGACGCGGTGGTATATGCTGCTTTGCGCGCAACAAATGCCGCACTTTCAAATAAAGTCGCTAGGAACAGCGGAGATCCCAAAAAGTAAACAAAAGTAAAAGTCTGATATCTTGAAAACCGGTGAATATTTTTCGATGAAATTTGGTAGATATTCGTTTTCGCTCTTTCTGAACCGAGCGACATCACTTTCGTGCCAATTCATTAACTTTTTTGAAGGTGGGAGGGTCCCTTTAAAGCTGAATTTCGAAGTCACAGGTCGGGTCAAGGTCAGGTCAAACACTTGAAATCGGGCTTTCAGTAGCATGGACTTTAGAACCTCGCAATCGGTGCCTCGCGTTTCGCGTTTCGATTATATCGTCATCAGTTGGTCCTAAATAAATTCAGTCATCAGTTGGTCCTAAACAATCTGTCACAACTGTCACAACCCTTCATATAAGTGCTAAAAGAGTGTCAGATCAATGTAGGGTCAGTCAAACATAGGCCACTGGCCAGGGTCAAAGTCAGGTCAATCAGGTAAGCACATAACCCCGAAAATTAAAACTGGTACCTATTCGCAGCCCATGCATGACACATGTTTTATGGGTACTTTTGGGCGTAGAACACGATGGTGACATTCATTTTATCATACGAGTACGTGGCTGGTTGAAAAAAGATCAATTTCAGAAATGCATGCGTCATGGTCGTGAAGTAGTCACGAGAAATTGCCAACATTCAGTTCAAGATTTTGGAAAATGTAGAACGATGATCAAAAACCATAGATAGCCATTTGATTTGCCATGGTATTGGCAGTGTAATGGCGTTTACAGCATGTCTGTATGTCTGCTCTGTCGGTGGATATCCATATCCATACTCCAGGATATCCATACACGTTTGCACGATATCCATACTCCAGGTGCAGGGGCGAGCAGTTACTTCTTACAAGGGGTGCGGAGTCGAAGTCAGAGTCGGAGTCAGAGTCGGAGTCGGAGTCAGAGTCGCCCAGAGTCGTGGCAACGAGCCAGGAGTCGGAGTCGGAGTCGGTCAGGAGCCCGCAGTGGAAGTCGGAGTCGGTCCGAATCGGAACAGCTCCATCACGACTCCGAAACACTGGCAGGGGTCCGGAGTCGGAGACAGAGTCGGCCGGAGTCATGGCAACGAGTCAGGAGTCGGAGTCGTAGTCGGAGTCGGATTTGGCGCCACCACGACTCCGCAACCCTGCTTCTTACCATCATTTATAAGGATAAGCGTTGCAAGACTGACGAGCCGACCTGGTGCTAACGAAGCGACGGGTAGGTACGCCTCGGGAGATGAAGCTTCACGGACGATTTTGCGCACAAGTGCGCAGTCTGCTTTTACGTTCCCCTTACGCAGAATTGAACAGAGATTTATTCTGCCAAAAAGCTCAATGGAGGTCGATGGAGAACTTTTTGTATGTCCAATGAAACATAAACGTAATTTTGCAAATATTGCTGTGGTGACACTGCAAACAGAATGCAATGCCGTTCCTGATTTTGAACACGCATGGGAAAAAGAGTCACTCCACTCGATAGCCAACATAACAAGGATTATTTTGATATATAATAATCCAGTTTTACAACGTCATGGAGGTACTCCACATGCTATCACCAGCGCGGTTGTTTAAACCTTTGACGGCGCACCAAAAAAGCCACTATCAGAAACTCCCGATTCCACGTACAATAATGGAGACTAAATGCGCAACTAAATAATTTTTTTCTGCCCAATTCAAAACATTTCATCAATTTCCAACAGAATGACACCCCAAATATACATATATTCCGAAATTGCCCACGGCCACCCGTGAGGCCGTTTCCAACCATAGTGACACGGTGAGAGGCGCTGGATGGGGCAGAGGGAGGTCACACAGCCGGCCGGGCACACGGTGAGAGGCGCTGGATGGGGTAGGGTAGGGAGGTCACACAGCCGGCCGGGCACATGGTGAGAGGCGCTGGATGGGGTAGGGAGGTCACACAGCCGGCCTGGCAGGCGCACGGTAAGCAGGGCTGGATGGGGTAGGGTAGGGAGGTCACACAGCCGGCCGGGCATACGGTGAGAGGCGCTGATGGGGTAGGGTAGGGATAGGGAGGTCACACAGCCGGCCGGGCACACGGTGAGCAGCGCTGGATGGGGTAGGGAGGTCACACAGCCGGCCGGGCACATGATGAGCAGGGCTGGATGAGGTAGGGAGGTCACACAGCCGGCCGGGCACACGGTGAGAGGCGCTGGATGGGGCAGAGTGAGGTGACACAGTGACACCGTAGGACGGAGTGAGGTGTAGAGACTAGAGAGGTCACCCAGCTGTGCCGAACGGGATAACTGGTCACAGGGAGGTCCTGGTCCGGGTGGAGAGAGGTAGCGATGTCACACTAACGGTCCCGGATGGGGTATAGATATAAAGCGGCACTGGACAGGCGAAAAGGTCATCTGCGGCTGCCGCTGGGATGGAGAAGCTTCGCGTGCCTGAATTTAATTAACATGTGCTTCGTTGTTGTAGGTCTTTGGAAACGAATCGATCAACGTCGAGTACATCGATTATTTCAAGAACTTCAACGCCCTGCTGGAAACTACACCAAAGAGGTGAGCGATTAGAGTTCCTCTTCTAAAGCGCCACTTAATAACTTCAGTGTTTTGCCAAACAGCATGCACAAGTCAGTTCTTGAAAATGTTGTGACGAAAAAGGCAAGAAGTGACACAACGAAGACAAGGAAACCGAAGATGCCAGGTCCTCGCTGGAAGGCAGCCAACCAAGGACGCCAGAGCCCAATGAGGCTGTGGAGTGTGCGCCCTAACCCTAGACCAAGACCGTGATCGTCTCCCCATCCCGCACTGACATTCTTCTGCCCCCTACAGAGTACTGGCCAACTACATGCTGTGGCGGGCGGTGCGCTCTTCGGTCGACAACCTCAACATGGCGGCACGCGACGCACGCCTCAAGTTCTTCGCCCAGGTGTACGGCAGCACGGAGCACAAGCCGCGCTGGAAGGAGTGCCTCGAGGACACCATATCCACGTAGGGAGATATAAACAGTAAACACCCTCCCCCATGCATATGTAATAAGCGCCGGCCGCAGGAGTGATACACTTGTGGGGATGTGAATGGATTCTGCTGAGTTACGATTTACGGGAATATTACTGACAGCAGTCCGGTATTAAATTTGGGCGCTGATGTCTACTAAACATGACACTCCTTCAAAGTCCGAGACATGACAATGTTCCACATCACACGAAAAGCTTTTCCCACATATCGTCCGCAATGTCTGTAACTGTGCCTGTCCAATACCTACATCCCATATAGAGTGCCTGACGAGGACCATTTCGCCGCAGGATGCACATCGCCGCAGGCTCCCTGTACGTGAAGAACCACTTTGACGAGGATTCGAAGAAGGCCGCCCTGGAGCTCGTGGCGGACGTGCATCAGCAGTTTAACATGATGCTGCAGGAACTCAGCTGGATGGACGACACCACCAAGTGAGCCGAAATAGCACCCTAGTCGACTCACTTGCTATTGGGGCATTCCACGTCAAATCAAACACCGAAATCCGTCATCCCCTTCGATTTTTCTGAAAATTTGTAGGCAGACTGGGCATGGTTCAAAACTGAGTTACGTATAATATTTTCGAAATTTGATAACGTATCGCTGAGATATAGGTCATCGAATATAGCGAAAAATGCCACACATCAATTTTTTAAATGGCTATAACTCTGGTTCCTTTTCTGGTATCAAAATGATATTAACAGGGTCTTATAGGCAATTGATAAGGCTTTGATTTTTAATTATAAAATTAAATTGAAGTGACTTTGAAATGCATTTGACCTTGAATTAAAACAGAAAAATTTAAATAGCAAAAAACACGTCACCTTCGATTTGGGTAATTTTTACATATTATGTCCGTCACAATGTTCCTAACCATCTGTGAAAAAATTGGAGTGGGCCATTCATAACTTTCGCGGCAAACGCCGTTTTCATGCATCAACATCACGCAACCGCGCGTGACCTTGAAAGACAGAGTCAAGACATGCTTGCTTGTGCACACTTTCTGAAATGAATGATTGCTGATTAGTGATATCCCAAACTCTGCGAGAATGGAAATGCATAGTCATAGTAGTCAAGCATTCACGTTCCATAGTAAAAGTGTCTCAGGCAAACGGTATTTTGCGGTGAATTTTGAGCCGTGTGGAAATGCATCATGAAGTAAATTCAACGAAAACATTATCATGCAACGATATCTTCACGTCTTTTGATCTTCACTATACGAAAGAACATACATTTTTTAGTAAGTATGGGGAATTTCTAGTTAATCCAATAATAAATATGGCAGTTAGAGGCCTGCTAAGAGTAACATGTCGCCGGCTGAGGCGGGCTCGGCCGATGCGGGAAACGCAGCAATCACAATTTTGTGTTTACACGTTCATATTTCAATTGTTTACCAACCGATTTTCAAAATTCTTTCACCATAAGATTGCCTGTACATTTCTTAGTCTTCTCACAAAATTTGACGCGAATCGAACGTAATCAGCGGAAGGGAGCGCGATGTAAAGACGGAACCGTTCCGTTCCGTCCCGGCACAGTCTACAATTCAGGCGGCGCGTAGCGGTCGGCGCCGGCTGCCGAGTCGCCGCGTCGCTGCGGCGACAGGATGTTCAATTTACACCGCTATTACTAGAACAGTTGTGAACCGATTTTCTTATTGCTTGCACGATGAGATGTCCAATTCAATTCTTGACAGGTAGCCATAATTAATTTCGCATTAATCTTATGAGATATTGGCGAAAAACAGGAGGGGTGGGCGAAATTCGCTCTTCCCCCTCCACTGCGCGTGCTAACATACGTTTGCATATGTGCAATTTTCTCCAAAACTTATGAATGGCCCACTCTAATTTTTTCATAGGTTGTTAAGAATATGGTAGGCAATAAAATATATGAAAATGAGCCAAATCGAAGGTGACGTGTTTTTTGCTATTTCAATATTTGTGCTTAAGAACAGAGTTAAGCAAATTTCAAGGTCATATATTTAAGTAGGTGCAATTCTAAACAAGTGCTTAAGAAATTACCTAAACATTAAGGTTTATTTCATTCAAATCAAACAAGTACAACCAAAGTTATGGTCGTTCAAAAATATAAAGATGCAACATTTTGTAAAAATTTGATGCCCTATATTTAGAAGACCTGTGGTCAGAATGTGCAAAAAACATCAATGTAATGTCAGGGGCCACACAGGAACTCGCTCACAAATTTATAATGAAATCGCTGATGGTAAGGTGCAAAACAGCCGATTTTTGTTCGATTTGACGTGGAATGCCCCTATTGTCACTTGGTAGACTTGGTAGAGCAAAACGACATGACATGTAGATCTTTGGATACGTTTTTGGTCAACTAAGCATTTCTGGTTGAAGCGTAGAACGGAGTACAAACCATTGAAGCGGAGCATAAAAACTGCTAACTTTAGCAGCTGCTCTAAGAATGTATCAAAAATCTTATTTTAACAGTGCCACAGTCCGATGAGTCCATATGAGGGAACGTTGAGGAAAGTGAAACCCCTTCGACTACTCATGCACATTTAAGTACCGTGCTGTAAGTGATGATTGTTTTCCTTGCAATCTTTCAGACAGCGAGCGATGGAGAAGTCTGACGCGATCGAGTATTACATCGCCTACCCCGACAAACTACTCAACGAAACACTAGTCGCCGAATACTACGAGGAACTGAGCGTCAGTGATGACGACTACTTCCAAAACACTCTGAACGCCCGCGTCTTCTTCACAAACAAGTCATTCCAGAAACTACGTGAGCCAGTAGACAAGAAAGATTGGAAACGTCACAGCAAGACTGCTGTCGTCAATGCCTTTTACAGCGCGCAAGATAACAGCATCAGTGAGTATAGGCTAGGGCTATATACGTCACCGAGAGGTCCAAAAGCCAGTACTGAGATAATAACCACTTCTTGATGTTTTACATTCTGCCATGTCGTTGATTTGTCATGATTTAATTTTATCGTTTCAGGTTTTCCGGCTGGAATTTTAAGAGGCGTGTTCTACGGCAACGATCGACCAAAATATTTGAATTATGGAGGCATTGGGTTCGTCATTGGTCACGAAATCACCCACGGATTCGACGATCAGGCAAGCAATTCAAGGACCAACAGTCAGTGCCGTCGCCAGACGGGCGACGGCACTGCGAAGTCAGTGCAGTTTCAATAGACTTTGTAGCTAAGTGAACCCAGCCATCAGTCATTATAACGTGCCGCGTGCCTGTCTGCAGGGTCGTCAATTTGATGCTGAGGGAAAACTACAGGAATGGTGGCAGCCGGAGACGCGCAACAAGTTCCTCGACGGTGCCCAGTGCATCATCCAGCAGTACGGCAACATCACTGTCGACAAGGCCAACATGAGCGTGAGTGAATGCTGGTCTGATAGCGCTAAACGCTTATTTTTCTGAAGACATTGGCAGATATAGAACCTAGCATCCAAAAGATGTGGTTGAGGGCCACGAAATGATCAGACAAACGATGCTTCTGTGGCGGACCTACTATTGTGGCCGGTATAGCAACGCATCGTTGGGACGTTAGGACGATTAAAACATTCCGCAGTTTCTCCGTCTCCCATTCACACCATCCCCTCCCCACCAGGTGAACGGGATCACCACTCAGGGTGAGAATATCGCCGACAACGGCGGCATGAAGATCGCGAGGCGCGCCTACCAGCTGTACCAGCAGAAGGCGGGCCGCGAGCCGGCGCTGCCCGGCCTGCAGCACTTCACCAACGAGCAGATGTTCTGGCTGGGCGCCGCCAACGCCTGGTGCTCCGTCTACAAGGAGGAGCGGCTGCGGCTGCTGCTGCTCACCGACAGCCATGCGCCCTCGTTCGTGCGCATCAACACGTCGCTGCGCAACACGCGCCTGTTCGCCGAGGACTGGCAGTGTCCGGTCGGCTCGCGGATGAACCCCGCAGACCGCTGCGGGGTCTGGTAGCCGTCGCCGAGACGGGCCCGACCGGCGCGAATCGCCGGGAAACTCGCAAACGCGGGGTCGCACGCGGGTGAGGGATTCTTCGCTACTTTGTTTTTTATACATTTATCATCATCGCGCTGAAATAAATGTTTGTGTCTATTGGAAATGTGTGATCGCACGACATGAAGAGATAGGTAACGCTGAACGCATCATCTGGAGGTCACGTCCTGTGCGCCTGAAAAAAAAAACAACAAAAAGCTAAATATCCCTGGTCAATATATTTCAATTAAAAAAATTAACGACAAAAGTCTCACAGAGAACATCAAAGCACAGGAGCAGCCATCACCATCAAACAGCCGGTGTCATTTCTTCCCTTCCACCATGATGATATGATAGCCGAACTTGGTCTTGACGGGAGGGTCCGTATAGTTGGGGTTCGCTATTGTGGACGTGGGCAGTGCGAAGGCCGCCTCCTGAAAGGGGCCGACCATGGAGCCGCGGGTCATCCAGCCGAGGTCGCCGCCCGAGCGCGCCTTGTCCTCGCTGTAAGTGGCCGCCACCTCGTTGAACTTGGCGCCGGCTCGGAGTTTCTCCAGCGCCTCCAGCGCCTTAGATTGTTTCTCACAGAGGATGTGGCGCACCTACACGGTGGAGCCGTGGTCAAACATACCTGACGGGCACACCCTGTCCCCAGTCCCCACCCAGGAAAACCGCACGCCGGGAGAAAGAGAGAGAGAGAGAGAGAGAGAGAGAGAGAGAGAGAGAGAGAGAGAGAGAGAGAGAGAGAGGGCATGAATCCCTAGACAGAAAATAAGAAAGAGGATATGACAAGACTAGAATCATGAATCGGAAAAACTAATAGCTAAAGCTAGCGTTGCAAGCAGCACCCAACGATTACAATATTGAGGGTTACAGCGCTAAAAAAATGAGCTTTCGTCAGAACAATCCTCTGTAGTGGATAATACAGATCAATTTCTTAGTTTTCAAGCTGCTACACTAAAACTGTAACAATGATGACATCCACTGCCCAGACTCCAGAGCTAAATAGGATGAGAAAGTATATCACAATCTAGCTGCTTACATCGAAGCTATGCATATTTGAAGTAGGTAATTGATAAAGATATAGGCCAATACAAAAAGTATCAGCCTTAGATTCTGCTATAAAGTACCCAACATTTTATAAATTCCGGAAGCAGAAACAACCTTCAATAATGGTTGAAGGAAGAATGGAGTGTTTAGAGGTTAAAACACACAATGGTTGAAGAAAGAATGGAGTGTTTAGATGCTAAAATGCATAGGTAATAACAATTTCTTAGAATTTAAAAATTAAGCGTATTTTTTTGTTTCCTGTGGTTCAACTTCATCACTAGCAATTCATGGGTCGCAAGCACATAAGATGAAGAATATGGCTGATGCATATTTGTGCATTCTTGATCCAAGCAAGTAGGGGAAGGTGGGGTAAGACGGCCCAGCGGGGCAAGACGGACCACCAGCCCTCCCGGCTGAACCGCTGCTGGTATCTACTGCTTTATGCACTCACTATGTTTGTTTTCCTTCGTAACAATGGCCACCTTGAGCTCATGCTGCTAGGATGCATAGTTTTTGAGTCATTGAGAAAAATGTTGTTTTTCGTCAAACCGATCTAATATAGGAGGTCTACGGGTGATTCAATTACGGCGCCTTTCTTGCATGATTAGTTTCTATTTTGCACTTAACTGTGAAGAACAAAGTTATAAACTTAGTTATAGTCACACTTTAGGAAAGGCAAGGTTTTGCAATGTTGGGCTATTTGACATATACGTCATGATAATGACAGAATTTAGATTTGGGGCAAGACGGACCACTGTGGTCCATCTTACCCTGTGGTGGTCCATTGTACCCTGCATATGGAAAGTTCTTTTCCAAAACATTGACACAAGTTTAAGTAAGCTAATTTTTCAGGCAGGAGTCTTTGTTGCATGTGAGCCATGCATGCAAGTGCTCAGTTAGCATGCATTCATGCCAAACGACAATCAACACACATGTTCCTAGCTTTTAGCTGCACTTCCATCACACATGAGTAAAGAATAAAAGCTCATTTTGTTATTTTACCATTCTGGTTACTTTTTCTTACAAGAGTACAGAGCAGAAGTGTAACACACATGAACGGATAGCAGGCACTGCTGAGTGGTCCGTCTTACCCCACGTTTTTTCTTGTCTGAGTTTTTGACATGTCCCTCTTTAACAGCATCCACCACCTAGATGTCTTTAATTTGAAATTTAGTCTTTACACATATCAACAGAGGAAGGATTGAGCATTCCGAAGACTATAAATAATATGAATTACGAGAGCAGTGTAGCAAGATATGCGGCCTCAAACCTTAGCTGGTCCGTCTTACCCCACCTTCCCCTACCGTAAAATGGGATGTTAAGGGACAACGGGGTGATAAGGGACAGTTGTGTGGGAAAAACTTTGAGTCATATTATGTTCCTAATTTGAGAAGCTTAAATAAAAACTTGAGTGTGGTAGTTAACAGTAACACTGTTTTATTCTCGACAATACGACAATATGGCATGGTTTTTCATGCAAGTGATTTGGTTCAAAAATGGTTTTGAAAATCATGCTACATTTTCACAAAATTGAAACATCTCCAAAACTCTGTGTGTGCCACAGGTACCTAAACTGGTAGGTGTACAGGGAAAATGAATGCATAGGTGTATTGTCACATGTATCAGTATTGCACATGTTTCCTGAAAAACTTATACAAATCCACTGATTCATTCATCATCCTCTTCCTCTTTTCCGGATACATGCATATTTTTAGGTGGATGTGGGGTGCTAAGGGATAGGGAAGAAAAAATAAAAATAATATCTAAATATAATTTCATAAAGTTTTCTTTCAGTGGGCATGGAAAACACCGAATTCCACATAAAATGCTGGCAAGTTCATGCTTTTATGTCTAACACATCTTAAGTTATATAAAAAACACCTCAAAAATCCCTTAATGCTCTCTTTTACAATGATGGGTCCCCGACGGTCAGCGCCACCGCCGGTCCGCGGTGGCGCTGACCGTCGGGGCGCGGCTGCGGCCGAGAGGTTTTGTACAACTTGTGATTTTCCGGGAGCGGCGATCCCTCCCGTGAGCTGTTACGTTCATGGCTCTGCCGCTCTGGTTTTGTATCGTGATACTCATTATGTACCGTATTGTACGTGCCCTAATAAATGTGTCCATGTTTTGAAAGAAAAAATGATGGGTCAATGAAGAGTGATGTAGGTAAATGTGATGTCATCATAAAAAGGCCAAAACAAAGAGGGCAACATAATGAAAAGTAACTAGCTTCAAAATGGGTTTTTTGTTGATGACAGAAGGGTACTTTTTGGTTCTGTTACCCTTATAATTAGCACATTTTCCAGAAGCGTAAACTGCATATCATGTAATTGGCTAAAAAGACCATTAGTGGTGAATGAGCCTGACTTGTTTTGTGACAGAATATGCAAAACATTTCAATAAATAAATTGTGTGCCCTTTCACACTCCAATTGTGGGCATTTGATGACCATTTCTTGGAATAATATAGGTGTCCCTAACACCCTATATTGGGGTGCTAAGGGACAGTAATGAAAAATAATAAATAATATACAGGGATATGTTTTTTAAAACTTAAATGCAGCAGGCATGTAAAGCACTGAATTCCACATAAAATGCTGACAATTTGATGCTTCTACCTCCAACCATTTTTGAGTTATATAACAAAACACCTCAACATTGTCCCTTAACACTCCATTTTACGGTATGGTGATTATTTTTTTTTTTCTAAGCCGCCACCCATGATCAGGTGACCAGGAGTGCCCCCTCCCTCTATCCCAGCGACGCACAGAACCTTACGTTAACACCAGAATAACTTAAAATTTCAAGTCGCGGCACTCCCAGCTAGGAAATGAAAGAAACATAAAAAAGCAGTAAAGAGAGAGTCCATGGTTAATATGAATGAATAAGAAGCAAAGTAGTCGACACTGTAAACAGTGGTGACTGCCCTCTACTGAAAGCCCATCCTCATTCACTCACTCACATTCGTAACATTCATACACAGCATCCAATACGAGAAAAAGGCATAATCGCTGGGGAAGGTTGGTTAGGGGGTTCTCTCATCAAAGGCAAGATCATCATCATAATACTCTGGTCTAGGCATGCATGTGGGTCCGTCAGCCCAGACACTCGGAGCACCCCACGAAGCAAGGCTTGTTGTCGGGCGCTCCAAGTGCCCGGGCAGGCAGGGTGACATTTAGCAAAACACTAAAAATGAGTAAAATACACATACTGCATATTACACATATACCGGACGGATACATACACCTATGTATGCCTACACAAGCATACATACACATTACACATACAACTGTCACATACAGGCATATCAGCGTTTGGTAGGTACCTATGGTTGAAGTACCTATCTTTGAATTATAAGATGTATCAAGCTAAATTAATCAGTATTGATTGATATAATGATTTTTAACTAGCTTTTTTATTGTGCTTTTGGCAAATGGCACAGACTGAACGTGAGGAAAGATCGAGGTCATGACATTGTTCCACACTCTAGGACCTGTCCATGACAAAGTATGAGTTTTATATTTTTTGAAAGTGAATATTTCTTCGAAGTGTTTTACATTACGAATGTTTCTGAGTGAAGGATGAAATCTAAACAATTGGTCGAATCCATGTGGTAAATTGTTGCATATTTTTCTATGCAGGATAAGTATCATTTGCTGATGTGCCACATCCTTAATTTTAAGGAGTTTTAGTTTTTTGAAAATTGGATCCGTATGAGCCATCATTGGCTGCCCATCTATAATTCTGACAACTCTCTTTTGAATCTTTTCAATTTTGGATAGAGTTGAGGTATAAGTATTGCTATATATATAGCAACAATAATTGACATATGACAAAAATAGAGAATTGTAGAGTAATAATAAGTGTTCAGTGTTTGAGCCTGTTATTGCTAGTGTTACCTACCTTGACCTGGGATGATCCACCTCCCTTTTGCTTTTCTTTCCCACTATCAGCATCTCCTCCAGGCTTGGCTTTTCCTCCTTTGCCTCCGGCACCACCTTTTCCACCAGCATTCCCTTTTCCTCCACCTGCTGCCTTTTTTGGCCCCATTCTGAAAGTGTTACAAACCATGAGAATATGGACTGAGGCAAAGTACAATGGAATAATTAACTACTTATCCTAACAACCCCTCCTCTGCCATGAGTCTCAAGTGCATCTGCCTTTATCAAGAGTTTGAGTCATTGCTTGATATGCCTTGCCTTGTTGCACAAGTCTCAGTCCCCATTTAGCTTTTAGATTTTGTTGGGTTAGGCTCTTTCGGTCCAATGAGACTATTGCAGAACTGGGAGGATAATAGGAATTAGGGGGAGACATAAGTCTGGGCAGACACCCAAGTGAGTCGCCACCACCGTCCACCAGGGCTCAGCCCATCTATTGGGACAGGCTGACCAGCCCCCAAAGCACTCACTGCACCCAGCTATGGGTGTGCTTTCTTGGGAGCAGCGGTGCAGGTTCAAGCGAGCAGCCCACATGAGATAAAGACGCCTGTCAGTCTGAAGCGAGGGTTGTGGCGTGGAGAAGGATTTGAACATCTCAATCTACCATCCTTAGGATGGAAATGATGGACACCTGTGTGAATCAGTCTCTATGAGTCCTGGTATATGTAGCTCCTCTGAACTATTCAGCTATCCTTAAATTGACATCAGCTATCACTTCCCTCATCCTGTGCTATTGACATTATGTGGTGGAATCTGAAAACAGGGCGCCGGAGCCCGGAGCGCATATGAGTCACGTGATGAATGTGAAATTCTGTCTCAGTCTGTCCAAGGAACTGTCCAAGAACTGTCTGAGTTTATACAGCCCCTATATTTTATCACCCATAGTTTGCATGTATTGCAACTTGCATGCTAAGAACAGTAGGTACATGTGTTAGCCTAGGCCAAGGTAACGCCAAGGCAAGGCTCCGGCCCCCTCAATATACCCTGCCGGCCCCGGCCAAGGCTGATAGCGCCTGTCGTCCTCTTGTCACTGTGACAGCCATTCGCAGCTTGAGCTCGCTTCGCTCACAATGAAATACACAACCTCACATATAAATCAATATGAAAACGAATTTATTTACCTCAGTTCTCCAGTATACCAATGTGTAATATGTAAAGCTGAAACTACAAAAAATACTGTACTTCTTACATATCAATAAACCCTACACACTCAAGGCCCTTACACACTAAACGACGCGGCGGCGCGTATTTGGAATTTCCGACCTCGACGAGCGTCTGTGGTAGAAAACCACCACTTTGGTAGGGGAAACTACTGCTGTCTGCTACAATTTGCACTGCATGTCAAGCTATTGTAGCGACATCTATGCATATACATTTCCGACCCCGACGAAAATCTCGCGGCGCTTCGCGCCGAGGCCGACCCACGCCGCCCATTCATACTGGAGACCAAAAGAGATTATGAGTTCAGAGTTGTGACAAATACCTAAAGCAACCACTACGTATGATGTATATGTTACAGGCCGTATGAAAACTCAGTCCGTTTGCAAACGGCCTGGCCCGATTCAGGCCGTTTGCAAACGGCCTGGACAGCCCAGTCAGTATGCAAACGGTCTAGGCCGTATGACAACTTTCCAGACACCAGGCCGTTTGCAAACGGTCTAGGCATTTTGAAAACAATCTGGTCTGCATAAAGTTACTGCTGGACAATGTTGAGCTTGTTGAAGCACGACCGTTTCATGACATTACATGGCACCATGAAATCCTGAGGTGCATTCGGCATCCGGAAAGATATTGTCACTCGGATATTCTCCGTCGGAAAATTATTTTTGAGCGCCTATCTTCAGCATGTCTCGTTATCGCGATACCATTTGTAATCCCCGATGATTCTCGCTAGTTCCGGAAAATCATCCCTGATTTTCCCGATGAAGAATGCAGGCCTGGTCAGAGAGAGAGATTAGCAGAACTGAGACCCGGCCCGTATACATATATAGCAACCGGTCGACCCGTGCTTCCCCCCGAGTTTCGCCTTCCACCAATTACTTACTTACTTCCTCGGCGGCAGCTTCGTGGGCGAACGGGACCCCGGGTGAAGCATTGCCGGCGTACGCCAGCCGCCGGCGGTCGACCGGGCGCGGTGAGGACTCTAATGTGAACCAGTGGCGCGGGAACTTCTTCCAGACTGGGGGGGGGGGGGGCTGAACCATAATAGAGATCAACCTCGGGTACCCCCAAATCTAGTTTTCTCACCGGTTTTAGGCCACTTATTTTTCAGACCTTGGCCTTTTCACAAAAAAACGAAAATATTTGCAAAAAAGTCAGGCATTCCGTCTCAGCTGAGTGAAGAAACTAATGTTTTGGCAACCTGGAATAAAGGTTTTAATCTGCCAAATGAGTTGCCGAGCCAGTGAAAGAGGTGGATTTTTCACTTACATGCTTTCTTCCTTTGTGACCCACAACCCCTAATTTGGAGAGGACAAGCTGCCCCAACGGTTCCTGACCTCATGAAAAATTGTGGGGCACCGCCCCCACGACCCCAGAGCTGTGGGAGCAAGCTTCCCCCACTGCCCCCTCCCCCGGTTCCCGCGCCTATGCATGAATCTATGAAATTATGTTGGTAGATTTCCGATTTCGATTCCTCCAGCTGGGGGGGGGGGCTCAAATACATTACGAGCCCCCCCCCCCCCAGCCGAAAAGCTGGAGGGGCTCACCGCTCAGCCCCCGCTAGCCCCCCCCCCCCGGTTCCCGCGCCACTGTTAACCCGCGCCCCACTGGGGAGGGGCTATTTATAGCCCCCCCTCCCGTTTTTCTGCAATAACTTCCAAACCGCTTGACGGATCGACGCCAAACTTTCAGTACCTTCGGCTGCATCAATTTGACACCTTGTGTCAAAATTTAAACTTCGTAGCTACCATAGGTCGGCCGGAAATGACGTCAGAGTGACGTCATGTTCGTCCGATTTCGACGCAAAACATTGAACCACGGCAATCGCTCCCAAGAGCTCAGTTTTTAAGCTAGATCCAATTTCTTTGCATGAAAGGACTCAGAATTGACCGCGCTATCAAACTGTTATCTCGGATTTTCAAAATTTTGAAAATTTCGAAAATTGTATATAACAATATTCAAAATTTATATTTTTATATTTTTTCAAATAGTTTTTGATTTTTCGAAAAAAACCGGAATATATGTGACAGAATGCATGAATATGACTAACTCTAGCAAGTTTTAGCTAAATATCTTCAAAAATGGCCAAGTTATACGCATTATTGCAAAAAATTCACAATTATTAATTTTTCAAATCAATTTTTCAGTACGTATTTGACATCGTACACCAATATAAATGGCACCATCGTGTTCCTGAGCTCAAACTGCATCCAATAGACACCTTTTTGTTGAAAAATTTTAACTTCAAAATTTGACCTTTTTTGACCTGAAAGTGACCTGACCTAAGCTAAATTCGACTCAAAATGACCTCGAATGACACAGACGACATCAAATTCGAAATCTATGGCCTAAATGGACCATAAAACATGTGTCACGTGACCGACGCATGATATAATATTTTCGTGACCTGTGATGACCTGACCCTGACCTGAAAATCAAAGTACAAGTTTGGTACCCTCAAGGTATCTAGAGCATCTGTTCACGAGTGTGGAAACCAAAAATGAGCCTGATCTGACTTGTAAGACGGCGGCCAGAGCCCAAAATGTGAACAAGCAAAAATGCTAATAATTTTTACTTTGACCTGACCTGTGACGTCATCGGTGACCTCGAGGTCAATGAAATTAGGTTTCGCTCGACAGTTTTTCCGGGGCTATCAGACGCCGTTTGAATTTTGACGATCGGCCCAGTAGTTTTGGAGTTAGGAGGGGGGGCTATGAATAGCCCCCCCCCCCCAGTAGGGCGTGTTATACACAGACCCCAGTGGGGCGCGGGTTAACTCTGGTGTCCATTGCGCGCTCCGGCATTTTATGCCACAAAATAATCGGTGCGTCTTGTAGTGATACGTTTCACCAGACCTCACCATGTGTGGTTTCACTTGGCTTCACCAGGCTCCATCAACTGGATGGCCGTAGGGGAAGGTGGGGTAAGACGGACCAGCTAAGGTTTGAGGCCGCATATCTTGCTACACTGCTCTCGTAATTCATATTAATTATAGTCTTCGGAATGCTCAATCCTTCCTCTGTTGATATGTGTAAAGACTAAATTTCAAATTAAAGACATCTAGGTGGTGGATGCTCTTAAAGAGGGACATATCAAAAACTCAGACAAGAAAAAACGTGGGGTAAGACGGACCACCCAGCAGTGCCTGCTATCCGTTCATGTGTGTTACACTTCTGCTCTGTACTCTTGTAAGAAAAAGTAACCAGAATGGTAAAATAACAAAATGAGCCTTTATTCTTTACTCATGTGTGATGGAAGTGCAGCTAAAAGCTGGGAATATGTGTGTTGATTGTCGTTTGGCATGAATGCATGCTAACTGAGCACTTGCATGCATGGCTCACATGCAACAAAGACTCCTTCCTGAAAAATTAGCTTACTTAAACTTGTGTCAATGTTTTGGAAAAGAACTTTCCATATGCAGGGTACAATGGACCACCACAGGGTAAGATGGACCACAGTGGTCCGTCTTGCCCCAAATCTAAATTCTGTCATTATCATGACGTATATGTCAAATAGCCCAACATTGCAAAACCTTGCCTTTCCTAAAGTGTGACTATAACTAAGTTTATAACTTTGTTCTTCACAGTTAAGTGCAAAATAGAAACTAATCATGCAAGAAAGGCGCCGTAATTGAATCACCCGTAGACCTCTTATATTAGATCGGTTTGACGAAAAACAACATTTTTCTCAATAACTCAAAAGCTATGCATCCTAGCAGCATGAGCTCAAGGTGGCTATTGTTACGAAGGAAAACAAACATAGTGAGTGCATAAAGCAGTAGATACCAGCAACGGTTCAGCCGGGAGGGCTGGGGGTCCGTCTTGCCCCGCTGGGCCGTCTTACCCCACCTTCCCCTACACAGGCGGACCGTGTCCGTGAACTTGTATGATTAGTAATATTGTCGTAAAACAGCCGGGCCGAGCATCAGCACAGTAAGAAAAATGTTCGACGTAGGACTAGGTATGTAGACGAGTCATTCGGCATGGAATACGCAAGCATTCACATGGATGCAACCTGATCATCGACCAACCTGGATCCATTAAGTTCAATCTTCAGAGGCTGTTGTACTTCGCCAGACCGTTTGAAAACTGACTAGGCCGTTTTCAAACTGTCTAGGCCGTTTCAAACTGCCTAGGCCGTTTTCATACGGCCCGATATTTCAGGCGGTTTGCAAACGGCCGGCTTTTTCAATTTTCAGGCCGTTTTCAAACGGCCTGACTGGGCCAGGCCGTTTGCAAACGGACTGGGTTTTCATACGGTCTGTAACATATACATTAACAGTTAACTATCAGATTGACGGCATGTGTCAACAATTATACCCTGATAGAAGACCGGAGGCTCTGGTTACCAGTGTAAAAATGAATACTTCAGACCAGGGGCGCGGGAACTACTTTCCGACTGGGGGGGGGGGGCACACTTTAATAAAGATCAACCTAGGGTATCCCCAAATCTAGTTTTCTCACCGGTTTTAGGCCACTTATTTTTCACCCCTCGGCTTTTTCAACAAAAAAGAAAACATTTGCAAAAAAGTGTGGTATTCCGTCTCAAAGCTGTGGGGGCACCGCCCCCACGGCCCCAGAGTTGGGGGGGGGGGGGCAAGCTGCCCCCACTGCCCCCCGGCTCCCGCGCCTATGCTTCAGACGCGTACCGCGTAGGAATTCAGCCCAGTATCGTTGAACAGATAGTGCATCGGCCTGAAAAAGTACGGTAACGATACCTAATTTTGGGTTTTTAGTCGGCCGATCCGTCCCCCCTGTCGAAAATCTGTGGCGACGCCCCTGGCAAGTGGCAGGTAGGACAAAAGTACGTACCTATCGCAAATGTTCGTACGGTATATAAAGTACGCATGGACAAAACTACGTCAAGGACAAAAGTACGCATGGTAAAAGTACCTACATACAGTATAAAGCACGAATGGATAAAAGTACGTCAAGGAAAAAAGTACGTATCGAAGAAGTACGTGGTGCAAAGTACGCATGGACAAAAGTACGTCAAGGACAAAAGCACATATCGTAAAAGTGCGTACAGCATAAAGTACGTATGGACAAGAGTACGTCAAGGGCAAAAGTACGTATCGCAAAAGTACGTTGAGTATAAAGTACGTATGG